GCAACCAAGCCTCCTGCTTGCTCCAGCTCCGGGCTTCTTGCGGCCATCTTGGTTGGGTTAATTTGCATATAGTCACTCTGTTTGGCTGGTGGGCATGGGTTGGGGTGTAGCAGAGGTGTGGTCAATTTGCATGTTTCTCTTTTATTACATTAGATTAGTGCATTAGGAACAGGAAAGAAAAAAGTGGCCATAGAATAAACAAAATATAAACATCTAATGATAGGTGCCCAGAAGGAGGTTGATAGGGAATACATAAGGAGAGGAAATTTTCTAATAGTAGTAATGTGGCCTAGGAAATATTCTGTAGGGACCTGAAGAGAAGGAATGAACCTATTCATCTAGAGAACTTATTGAATACCATTGAGGGAGGGCAGGCGAGTGATACTTGGATGGCAACAAGCTTGAGAAACTCAACAGACTATTAAGAGGAGATTGAGGGGTTAAGGGAATGACAATGAAAAACAAGAGACATGGCTTGGACTATAAGGACATATATAGAAGGCATAAGGAAAATAAAGTAAGCTGCAAGGAGGCTAAAGAACAATCAGTCAGGGGAAGAAGTCCAGGAGTAACTAACATGGTGTATGTAGGAAAAAGCCTGATTGTGTAATCATGATGCGAGTGGTGGGATTTTATGATCAATGTAGCAAACCACATTTTAAATTGATTTATAAAGTATGGCTAATAAAATTTTCTTAAAAAAGAATGAATAATACATCAGAGGGAAAATATTATAATAATATTGGGGAGATGATTATCATAATTACATCAATTTATTAAGATTGAGAGAAATGGAAATGGCAACAATTATTTGTAGATTTTTGGATATCACAACTTAACTAAAAGGCAAATGTTTAGTGAAAAAGGAAAATGTTTTAGGAAAGGAGAAATTGGGAAATCTTGAGGGAGTTTTAAATGCTATATTGGGGATGCTGAGTCATTTATTAGAGTTAAGTGCACAGTTATATAGATCAGGATCTCTGAGGACAAGGGATCTAGAATGTGTGAGCCATCTGCATATTGATGGGAATTAAAACCATGGACAGTTCATTTAGAAAGAAGTTGAAACTAGTGAAAGAGGTGCCCTAAGATGTAGCTTTGCGGGCTTGTCATAGAAAGGAAGAAAATATTTGAATTAGAGAGGATGGCTCCATACCTAGGGAGGACTATGTTTTAAGAAAAGGGAGAAGATGGAAGTCAGATGGTAATTTAGTCCTCCAAGTGTCTGACAAAATAAAGAATAAAGTAGGAAAACAAACAAAAACCCAAAAGCATATTCTACATTTCCCAAACTGGAACACACCAAAGATACCAGCAGGTGGGTTCAATTCACTGACAAAATAAGACCCGCATGAAGTAAGTAGCTGTGCAGGAGGAAATAAAATGAACATGGTGATGTCACTCATTTGTGGAATATAATGAACAACATAAACTGATGAATAAAAACAGATCTAGAGACAGAGAAGCATCGATCAGACCCTCAAACCTCAGAGGGAAGGCAGGGGAGAGTGGGGGGAAAGGGGAGAGATCAACCAAAGGACTACTATGCAAGACTATTAAGAGGAGATTGAGGGGTTAAGGGAATGACAATGAAAAACAAGAGACATGGCTTGGACTATAAGGACATATATAGAAGGCATAAGGAAAATAAAGTAAACTACAAGAAGGCTAAAGAACAATCACTTAACTTCCTCTACTTACTAGAATACTATTATATTAAATTATAATATAAACTAGAGGCCCGATGCACAAAAATTTGTGCACTCGGGGGGGAGAGGGGGTCCCTCAGCCCGGCCTGTGCACTCTCGCAGTCTGGGACCCCTTGGGAGATAACGACCTGCTGGCTTAGGCCTGCTCCCGGGTGGCAGAGGGCAGGCCCATGGTCACACCCCCTTCAGGGTGGGGGTCCCCACTGGGGTGCCTGGCCAGCCTGGATGAGGGGATGATGGCTGTTTGCAGCTGGTCACACCCCCTTCAGGGTGGGGGTCCCCACTGGGGTGCCTGGCCAGCCTGGATGAGGGGATGATGGCTGTTTGCAGCTGGTCACACCCCCTTCAGGGTGGGGGTCCCCACTGGGGTGCCTGGCCAGCCTGGATGAGGGGATGATGGCTGTTTGCAGCTGGTCACACCCCCTTCAGGGTGGGGGTCCCCACTGGGGTGCCTGGCCAGCCTGGATGAGGGGATGATGGCTGTTTGCAGCTGGTCACACCCCCTTCAGGGTGGGGGTCCCCACTGGGGTGCCTGGCCAGCCTGGATGAGGGGATGATGGCTGTTTGCAGCTGGTCACACCCCCTTCAGGGTGGGGGTCCCCACTGGGGTGCCTGGCCAGCCTGGATGAGGGGATGATGGCTGTTTGCAGCTGGTCACACCCCCTTCAGGGTGGGGGTCCCCACTGGGGTGCCTGGCCAGCCTGGATGAGGGGATGATGGCTGTTTGCAGCTGGTCACACCCCCTTCAGGGTGGGGGTCCCCACTGGGGTGCCTGGCCAGCCTGGATGAGGGGATGATGGCTGTTTGCAGCTGGTCACACCCCCTTCAGGGTGGGGGTCCCCACTGGGGTGCCTGGCCAGCCTGGGTGAGGGGATGATGGCTGTTTGCAGCTGGTCACACCCCCTTCAGGGTGGGGGTCCCCACTGGGGTGCCTGGCCAGCCTGGATGAGGGCATGATGGCTGTTTGCAGGTGGTCACACACTCTTCAGGGTCGGGGTCCCCACTGGGGTGCCTGGCTAGTCTGGTTGAGGGGCTGAGGGCTGTTTTCAGGCTGGGGGGTGACTGAAGCTCCCAACCGCTCCTTTTTTTCTTTTTTTCTTTTTAATTCTGGGCCAGCTTTACCTCTGAGGCTTGGCTCCAACTCTTAGGCCTCGGCTGCTGAAAGCAGGTATCTGGTTTGTTTGGGTTCTATAATCAAAACACTGTTTCAACTCCAGCTCTGAGATCCTGGCTGGCTGAAAGCAGGTTTCTGGGGTTTTGTTTAGCTTCTATATTTGTAACAATGTTTCAAACTGCAAGCTCAGAGGCCGGCAAGGCAGGCGGGGAACGTTGGAGTCCTCCATCACTGAAGCAAGCAAGCCTCCTGTTCGCTTCAAGCTGCCTGGCTGCCGGCCGCCATCTAGGCTGGCAGTTAATTTGCATATCGCCCTGATTAGCCAATGGGAAGGGTAGCGGAGTGACACCAATTTGCATGTTTCTCTTTTATTAGTGTAGATGAACTCATTGCTTACATTTTCTATGACTTGTATTAAAAATCAAAGCACTCTCCTTCTTGTTTTTCTCTGTCTGAAGTTGCACTGAATTAATATGTAGTGCCATATTGAAGAGAGTTAGTTTGATAGTGATTTTACTCCATATCTGAAGAATATAATTTAATTTTAGACGTTCCTGTGGTGTAAAGCTGTTCAGCAGTTGCAGCGTAGATGAATTTAAACGTGTAGTTTCACAGCCTGAATTTGAATGTCTTCAAAATCAAACCATTTCAAAAGTGGTTGTCCAAGGAAGAGCATCAGAATGTGGCAATGGAATTGTGGAAAAGGGAGAGCAATGTGATTGTGGCCCTCCAGAGGTTAGTGTCAATCATTAATGAGTAGCTAAAGACTTGTTTTTCTGCTCATAAGATTGTGATACAAAAGGGAAGGGCTTTTTGTCAAATGCTACACCATTTCATCAACTATCTAAAACAGTGATGGTGAACCTTTTGAGCTCGGCATGTCAGCATTTTGAAAAACCCTAATTTAACTCTGGTGCCATGTCACATATAGAAATTTTTTGATATTTGCAACCATAGTAAAACAAAGACTTATATTTTTGATATTTATTTTATATATTTAAATGCCATTTAACAAAGAAAAATCAACCAAAAAAAATGAGTTCGCGTGTCACCTCTGACAAGCGTGTCATAGGTTTAGGTTCGCCATCACTCATCTAAGACATGGAGATATTGGGCATGTGAGAACGGACTCACCTTGCATTTGAAACATTTGAAGAATTTAAGTATAGAGTAAGTACAGGTAAGTGTAGCATGGATTCAATACAATTTTCTTCATTGTGCAACCATTAATAGCAACACTCACCTTTCTGTATCATAAAAACTAGCACCCTCAACAATATAGTCACCTAAATCATGTCCTGAATTCTTCCCAAGTGAGTACTGGTTCCCAAAGTTATACAATGTGTGCTGTTTACCTCCTCATCTCTTTAGTCCTTGCATCTGGGGATCTTCATTTATATTAACTTGGTTGAACAGAATTGAATAAATCATAATGCATCATTCATCATCGTTGTATTTAGTTTTTGCTATTATTTGTTTTCAATTGTGCTTGGTAAGATAATCAGTGAATTTTGTGGTGACTGTCTTCATATACTTATTCATTGTGATGTTGAGAATGATAGAGATTTTCTAGAAAAGATGAAGGCTCTCTAATTATTAGAGGAAAAATTCCATATAACTTGAATGCATTACAAATGTAAGTGAATGACTCAAAATCTCTGTATTTTTATTAATTTTGATTGTCTGACCTCTCAGTACTTGAGAAATTATATTGATCCCTCCGATGATACAGTTGTATTTGCCTACTTCTCACTAGAATTTACTCAATTCATTCTTTATATTTTGAAGTTGTTTTATATGGTGCAAACTTATTTATAACTAGATTCCCAGTGCACGAATTCATGCATCTTGAAAGGAACTGTGGGCAGAGAGGCTGCAGTGGGCACAGGGGCAGGTCTTGGCCTGTCCTCCACACCTCTGCCTGGCCCCTCCCACAGTGGCCCTGGTCCCCTGTCTGCCATAAGCCCGGGTCCCACTGACACTGCTCCCACATGCTGATGGTGCTGGCTCTGCTCTCACCCACTGATGGCGCAGAGCAATTGGGGCTTTGCGGGAGCTAGTGGCGGGTGCTGCCCCAATTATCCCTCAGGAGCATGGGGGGAGGGAGAAGCCCTTCGGGGCCATTAGGTCCAGCAGCTGCTACCTGCACCCGCTGAATGCGCTGAGTGATTGGGACCATTGCCAGGTACCAGCAGCGGGTGCAAGTGGCAGCTCCGGCACTGGCTGTGGGTGGGATGCTGGGCAGGACTACAGCACACAGGAGCAAAGAATTTTCAGTAACCAACAGAGGCCCACCCCAATGACAGCGACTGGGGCGCCAACTTGGTCTGGTGCCCCGCTCACCTGCTCCACCATCCCGCCACAGCCAATGCCTGTCATGTTCTGCACACGCCCCTGGTGGTCAGTGCATGTCATAGCGATCGATTGGTTGTTCGGTTGTTCTGGTTGTTCTGCTGTTTGGTCTATTTGCATATTAGCCTTTTATTATATAGGACTAGGGGCCCAGTGCACGAATTTGTGCACCTTGAAAGGAACTGTGGGCCACAAGGCTGCGGTGGGCACAGGGGCAGGTTTCGGACCATCCTCCAAGCCCCTGCCCAGCCCCTTCTGCTGTGGCCCCTGGTCCCCTGTGTGCCAGCAGCCCTGATCCTGCCTCTGCTCCCATGCACTGACAGTGCGGGCCGCTTGCACCGCTGAAGGTGTAAAGAGATTGGGTTCAGCTCCAGCAGCGGGTGTGAGTGGGCCAGCGCTGACAGCGTGTGCAAGTGGCCGCTGCTGCCCCAATTGCCCTTCAGGAGCAGGAGGAGGTGGAGAAGCCTTCAGGGACAATCAGGGCTGGCAGCCGCTGCTCACACCCGCTGATGGCACCCAGTGATCAGGGCTGGCGCTTGGCATCAGCAGGTGCAAGCGCCAGGTGGGACCATGGCATGTGGGAGCAAAGAATATTCAGTAAGCACCAGAGGCTCACCCCAATGACAGCGACTGGCACCCTGCCTTGGTCTGGCGCTCTTGCTCACCTGCTCCACCATCTTGCCGTGGCCAATGACTGCCATGTTTTGTGCACACTCCCTGGTGGTCAGCGCACATCATAGCTACCAGTTGTTCGGTTGTTTTGCCATTCAGTCTATTTGCGTATTAGCCTTCTATTATATATGCTTGTAGAAGGCTCATATGTACACTGTTTCTCCAGGAAACTAAGTTTTCTTGGCATGAGACGAGTTTTGTAGGGAGGGATCCTAGTGATCTTGTCGTTTAGGTAAACAGTAAGTGGGCTACTTCTGGTTTTTGTTTGTTTCTTTGTTTTTACAGATGGACAATCTCCTATTTGTGGTGTTTATCCCTGTAAGAGGCCGTTTGGTTTATATGGAACTTTTGGGAGGTTTTCTCATCCAATTGATTTGCATCCTATATAATAAAAGCCTAATATGCTAAGTGTCCAGTCATCAGGTTGGCCATTCAACCAATCAAAGTGTACTATGCTAATGATATGCTAAGGCTGCTCAACCACTCTCTATGACATGCACTGACCACCAGGGGCAGACACTCTTACTGGTAGGTTATCTTGCTGCTGGGATCCAGCTGATTTGAACTGAATGAGACAGGCTGGACATGCCCTCGATCCGTCCCATGGTCCCTTCCTAGCTGGCCAACCTCCTGCATCCCTCCCTGACCCAGATCATGCACCAGTGGGGTCCCTTGTCCTGGCCTGTGCCCTCTCACAGTCTGGGTTGAGGACCCCTCCACTCCCACCCCAAGTGCATGGATTTCGGGCACTGGTTCTCTTATTGTTTTATAAAGAGGACTGTAAACTGAATAGGTATATTTGAACACTGATTTGTTGTTCCACTTATGTATGCATTTATAGGTTGATTCTTGTATGTGCCACCACTAGGGATCAAACCTGCAACCTTATTGTATCTGGAAACACTGGGACCATCTGAGAAACTCAGACAGGGCCCTTTTTCTAGTTCTTTAAGATGGAATGCTAAGTTATTTAATTGAGATGTCACTTGTTTCTTGAGATAGGCCTTTACTGACATAACTTCCCTCTTATTACTGCCTTCTCTATCTTTCTCTATTTTTTTTTTCTTTTCTGCTCAATCACTCGACTCCCAACCAAAATCCCTGACCACTCCAACCACCCCATCACACCAGAGGTGAATGCCTGCTCTCTACCTATGAATGTGTTTCTATTTTGCTTAGTAGCTCGGCTTGTTCATTTACTTTCACATATGAGTGAAATTATATGGTATTTGTCTTTCTCGCACTGTCATATTTCACTTAGTATTATGTTCTCCAGGCCCATAGGTAAGATTTTCTTCCATTTGGAGCTTAGCAAATAATGAAAATAATTTTCTCTGAAACGTTTCTTATAATACCAAAATATTATAATTTAGAAACCTCTATTTTGTCACAATCATAACTTGCTATACATTTCTAAAATTATTTCCTGAGAACCTTGATATGGAAATGTACTTATAATGTATTTGATAAAAAAATATAAATGTAGAAATTCATTGTATATGTATATGTTTACAAAACCAAAGGGGATTGAAAAATAATTGTATAAAATAATTTTTTGTATATGTTTACAAAACCAAAGGGGATTGAAATTAATTGCATAAAATAAGTAAAAGTTCAATTTCTTGAGCGTGTAATTATGCATAATTTATTACCATTGTTTTCTATATTGAAAATATCATAATTTCAAATGAAGCAGTGCTATAAATACTAGTAAATACAGAAGTAAAAATTATACTGTAATTGTATTTAACTTAGAGACAAACAGTTTATTTTGACAAATAAAATTATCTATTTGATGGCAAATTCTAATTATTTAATTTGATTGTATTTGCTTTTAGGAATGTGATTTTAAAAAATGCTGTAATGCTGAAACTTGTACATTCATTCCATCTGCAGAATGTGGCAATGGACCATGCTGTGACAATAAAACTTGTCTGGTAAGCTTTCTAAATATAACCGTTTTACCTCATGAAATTGTTGTGTTCTTGTGCTTTCTTTCTGCTTTAGTTTTTTAAAAACTTGTTTGTACACATCTTTCAAATATGCTACTTTATGTACCCTATTCATGCACTGTTGGCTTTAGAATTTAGATGATGTCTTTACGTCTTTTTCTACCTACTATTTAGCTCCACTACTCTCTGTATTGTTTCATTTTCTATTCAAGATCCATCTAGTTATTGCACTCAATACCAATTCCAGATTATTTGGGTGCTCTGAATTCCTAGCGGTGCTGCCTGAGTGAAGCTCTTCATCATGAAACAACTTACGACAAAATTATAAATGAGCCAGCTAACACACAGTTGACATGCAATGCTCCAATAAAAGACAGTACTTTAAAAAATCTGATTTTGAAAATACTAGAAAAAGGAATCCATGTGGAATATGTAGCATATAAAATAGTGAAGTTTGCCTTGGTCGAGGACTCCTAGCCTAGAAGTGGAGGATTGAATTGATTTCTCTTGGGAAGTTTCCCATTCATGTTTTTCTCTGTAGCCACATCTGAGAGGGGATTGGTTAGGAGTTGTTTTCTGTGGTTTGCATCATTATAGCATCTCATTTAGTGTTCCTTTCAGGAGTCTATGACAAAAGTGGATTAAATAGAGATATTTTCTGTTTCAGTGTAATCTCTCACAACATTATTCTGCTTTGTTCTATATGTGTTCATTTTTACTCTGTGGGCTAGTGATTAGAACCAATGGTCAGTTATATTTAAGGTACATAAATCTAGAGGCCAGTGTAGGGTTTCTACTTCTTAGCAGTAAATCTTGTTGCTTTTCCCTTCATTAGAGGTCTCATCCTGACCTTAGTCTCCAAACCAGTGCAATATAGCTTTTCTAAACAGTCCATTGCCATTTACCTACCCCCCAAGCTCTTGAAAATGGAGATAATCACTACATTTGGTTGCATGAAAATTCACAGTACAAGTTGCTAAAAGCTTCAGGGCAAGAGCTAAATGTACTTTGTTAGTTTACATTAACTTTATATGTGTTAGGAAATAGAACTTTGCTTTTGCTCTCATTTATTGGCCCTAAGGGTAAAAGTCTTCCTATTTTCTTCTCTTTTCTACTTTCAAGCAGGCTAATTTATACCAATGCATTTCCAAAATTTAACAATTTTATCTAATATTTTATAAATTACATTTCTATTTAGATAAAAACAAATCCAAGTGCAAAGATATGGAAGGCGATAATTTAACCAGCTGCTTCACTGAAACATAGCAATGAATAACTTGTTTCTAACCTGTACACAGACATTTCTATATGCAATTTAAAAAATGTAATTGGTACTCTATAATACATATTATGTAGTGGTCAGTTGTGTCTTTTTCAAAAATTTGCACAGAATGATGTTTATTATGAATTTCTTATATACACTTTATGTGTGAAAATTTTAAAGATATGAGCATTCTAACTGTGGACTTTAAATTCAAGCTTACTAAAAGTTTGAAATAAAGCTTGCTTCTAATACTATTTTGTTCACACCTTAGGTATAGTATAATTTTAATGTCATAGTGGAACAACAAAGGTGAAAAACTCTCGATATACAGCTTTTGTTTTTAAAATATCAAGTGACTAAAATATCATTTGACATTACATGACTTCACTTTTTAGAAGAATAAGCTGAAGAGTTCTTTTATTTTCTAAATAGTGGTTAAAGAAGAAAGCTATCATCATATTCTGGAATTTGTTTTATAATGAAAATCAATCAAACCATAACCAACACTTAGCACTTTAGTAGTATTTTATTCTATTACTAGAGGCCTGGTGCACAAAAATTTGTGCACTCTGGGGGGAGAGGGGGTCCCTCAGCCCGTCCTGTGCCCTCTCGCAGTCTGGGACCCCTCAGGAGATAATGACCTGCTGGCTTAGGCCTGCTCCCGGGTGGCAGAGGGCAGGCCCAATCCCTAGGTGCAGCCCCTGGTTGGGCTCAGAGCAGGGCTGATTGGGGAGTTGGGCGCCGCCCCCTGTCATGCACAGAGCAGGGCGGATCGGGAGGTTGCGATGCCACCCTCAGTCACGCTCAGGGTAGGGCCGATTGGGGGGTTGGGGCACCGCCCCCTGTCACACTCAAGGCAGGGTCGATGGGGAGGTTGCGGCGCCACCCCCTGTCACGCACAGAGCAGGGCCAATCAGGGGGTTGGGCACTGCCCCCTGTCATGCACAGAGCAGGGCGGATCGGGAGGTTGCGATGCCACCCCTAGCCCCCTGTCCACAGAGCAGGGCGGATCAGGGGGTTGGGGTGCTGCACCCTGTCACACTCAGGGCAGGGCCAATGGGGAGGTTATGGCTCCTCTCCATCACACACAGAGCAGGGCCCGTGGGGTGGGGGGGTTGGGGTGCCGCACCCTGTCACACACAGAGCCG